GATTAGGCCACCAATGCACTATGGAAATAACAAAAAAGTGACAGCCCTGGCTTTGGAACATGGAAGAAGACTGATCTGACCAAATGCAAATGTTTATATTCGATCTTAGTCACTCTAGAAGCATTTTACGAACAACAGAAACAAATCCATACTTTTAAAGTGCAATTCACTTAACCAGCGCCGGGCTAAGATGAGCTATTTTTCTGTGTTGTCTGCCATGGGAAGTTAGAAGACTAGCTCCAATATAGATGCCTACATTATAGACCTCAAAATCCGGGCAAGATGACAGACTGTGCAAGTGAAGGAGACTCAAGTACTACAAATTTATTCTTTCTGGCTAAACCCTCTCCATTATCAGAACGCTGTTTGGCACAGATGATGCACAAAGGGGATAGCTCTTGTTGTCCAGTTCTTCAATGGCTCTCATGCCGGAAGACTGCAGATTCAAGCTTGCATGGCCCATTTCAATGAACACATACTAACAGACACATTGCCTAAGCACTCACAAAACAGAACAAGAAAAAAAGATCTGTCATCCCTCTCCCAATAATGGATATGGTTAATATGAAGCTTTGTCCTTGGCAATTATAAAAGAATAGTTGTAAGTGTAGAAAAAGGTTAGCCTTATATGAAGAAAGTGAAGAGATCCCCATCCTGACTTCAATTCAAAAAGTCTCTTTTGAAAAAGCACACAAAGGACAAGACGGTCAAGAGGAGATCACACAGCTAATTCTTTGGAAAAAATAATTTCACAGTGTTCTAATTTTTCATTTTGAAAATGTGATCAACTCTCACGGAAACAAAGACAGTGTGTGTATTGAGGAAATGAAGGAAAAGGCAGACCAACTTATTGCCTAGACCGCCAGCACTGCACATACTGTCAATAGGGGAAAAAAATCCTATTTAGTTTTCCTCCTCTTATCAGCCACTTTTCCCTTGGAAAAATCTCAATGCTTTGTAGTCATAAAAAATTTCACAAAGAGTAACTGTAACAAAAAAAGATATTAAATTAGTAGACCATCAGCCAGGACAATCATGATCTATTAAGATAAACTTACTCTGTGGATATCTAGATAGATTTTCTCTGTATGTCCATTTAAATGAATTATTTGTACTGCACAGGCTCTTAGTCTTCTAAAAGACACAAGGAAAATAAAATATAACATTGTCACAGCATAATGGTCCCTCCTGCCTGACAGACATTAGGAGAGAAAAAAAGTTACTGAAAAATGAATGTTGAGATGACATTACCAAGCTTATTTTCAAAGTGGGAAGCAATTAGACTACGAAAATGTTCTCTTCCATTATTTCTATTATACCAGAGGAAGATAAAGTAAATAAATATGAAGATGGATGGTTATTGTTGATGCACAGTGACAGCTACTCAGTATGCTACATTGAAGAACTATGTTCTATCAGTCCCGATTTTATACAGTGACAGGCAAATCCGTAACAATCAGGTAGCCTAGAAATCTGAAGTACAGTTTCAAGTTGGTTCCCCGCACCAAGTGGTGGGTTTTTTTTTTTCTTCACTGAAGAAGCTGTGGCCAAACTAGAATAAACTTGTTTAATAAAACAAACCATTTATTACTTTTACAGGATTTAGGTTGATAAATTCTGTCAAAAGATTTTCAGAAGGGCTCTTTACACTTGTGTCCCTGACACTATAGATACTCAAGCTGAAGTACCACCACTTCTACACCTCTAAAGATGGGGCAAAGACACTCATTGTAGAGGGCTTGCTTTTGACTTGACCTCTTCTGAGGTCAATATATAATACTGATAAAAAATTACCACTTAACCTTACGATAGCAATTTTTGTAAGCACTCAACTCCAATTCACAGACTTTAAAGAAGAGGGCAGTCTAGCCTAACGTCCAAATATTAACTGTTCTAGCCACTTTGCAAATCTCATTTAGGTATCTGAAGAAGAAATTCTCTTGAAAACCTGATCTCACATGCAATCAGGATCTCCCTCCTTGGAGGCAGTCAACAGGTGCCTGGACACGGTCCTGCTTGAGCAGAGGGGTTGGACCAGATGACCTCCAGAGGAGCCTTCCAACCTCAGCCATTCTGCGGTTCTGCGAATTGCAATGTAACAACCACCCTGTACTTCTTCAGTCCTACATGATATCTTTTGTTGTGCTGTCCCTCTGTTTAAACTCTTACAAAGAAAAAACAGTACAGACATAGCTTTTTGACTTGCTCACCTAACTTGTGCCTGAACTTCAGGGGCTTAATGAATCAGCCCTTCTAAAGTGAATCTAGGTTCTCTGTGCACTTAGAGAAGTCTTTTTTGTCTCAGAAGACCCAACAAATGCTGCCTTCTTGAGTCAGGCAGTGAATCATTAATGAGTGATTATTTTTGCTATCAGTTCTGCATTAACCCTCCAGTTTCTGAACGCTGTCCTATCCAGAGGAATGGGCAGAACTGATCCTAGAAGTTCTCTGGATGTTCAGAGCTTTCTGAAGTGTTTTAGGTTACTTTGCATTAATAGAGCACGTGGAGCAACATTCACCTTACTCTCAGCAAGCTCACAGTCCTACCAGATGTGAGCATATCCAGAAATTATTAAGTAGGAGACATGTCAAACGAAATTAAAACACAAAAAAGCATTACACCCAATGCTATATTGCTAGTATTTAAAATGTAAGCTTAGCAGAAATGAGATAATCTTGCGTACTGAAATTATACATAGTCTACATTTAGCAAGCTATTTTCACACTTACAGCACACAATTCTGTCACAGTCAATGCAGCAGAACTCAGTAAAACACTCCTGTTTAATAGGATGTCATTTATCCACAAATATACTTTACAATAATGGATTTTCAACTACCGCAAATTGATTTTATTTCATTCCTTCCACATGTCATTGTGCCACAGAGGATAACTCCTTTGATATTAATAGTAATGAAGATGCATTGCATCTGACAGCCCTAACAACATGTTTAATAGAACATTTTAACTTTAAGTAGATGAAGAATCAGAAGGGAACACTTTTTCAGATTCCACTGTTTCAGAACACGGTTCTGTATAAATGAAATTATCCTACTTAGAAGTTATTTCCACTTTGATATTATTTCTATTTAATTTGACAGTTTTATTTTGGGAAGATAACATTCTGACATACTGCAAATTATTCTCCCAAAACAACACAGCTTATCCTTTTGTATCCGCTTTAATCAAATTTGTCTCAATAGCCTCCTGCTTCTGCTAAGTAATTCTGGCAATTGATCATCCTAACATCCTAAAATGACAATCCTAAGGTGTCACTCACAAAGAGAAACAATACAAAACATACTGTTTCAAACTGCTACTGCATAACCCAGCGAGAGATTTATTCAGGCTTTATGTTACATATCTTGCTACCAGAAACTGCTGCTTCTGCAGAACAACGAGTTTTGCCAGTGATGGGGGTCAGACTTTCTTTCTTTCCTGCAATTTGAGTTTGCACTTAGGAGATTCTCAAAGCACGCTCACCCACCTAACTCAAATGCTGCCATCATGTTCTACACAGAAACTGCATTTATTGAGTTTCACCTTTATTCCCACTCTCTCCCATGCAATTTGTTTGCATAAGGAAAACACCTACTTATCTAGGAGGTATATCTTTTTTATAATTGCATGTGCAGAGAATGTTTTGGAAAAGTGCGTACGCTGCAATTTTAAAGCAAATTAAAGTGTAACTACAAGTTCAAACCTTTTTGTTTAATGAAGCAATACATGCAGAGTTGCTGCAGCTTGACAAATATATTAACACTGAAAAAACCAAAAACCTAGTTAAAAATAAAACAAAGATGACCATCAACTGCATGCAGTGCTGTCATTGCCTTTCCTTTTTCCAGTTCCTCTTTCCATTATAAAAGTTCTAACAAAACATTCTCCCTTATTTTTAGCACAAACAGGGCAACAATCAGCATCTTAGAGATTTTTAGCTTCCAGACCAAGTATGAGTTTTGCAAGGTGATCTCTAACTACCCACTTTCTAACAACACTCTTCACAAAAAGCAAGCGAGGTATACAGCAAGAAATAACGTTAAGATGTTACTCCTACTGACCCTTAACTACCACCTCACTCGAACAGCACGATAGAGAGTGAAAAATGACCTTCAGGAATGTACAGCTTAAAATGTTAAAATCGAAATTGTCAAGTCATTTAGCAACAGAACAAGCTTTTAAGACCAGTATTAACACAAACCTCGCTTGCAAGCAAGAGCCATAAAACAGCGATAAGAAAGGTGAAATACTGCAACCCACTCCTGACATCTGAAACCTATTTCAAACAGCTAATAATCCAGTCTATTCTTCAAAATTTATGTTGACATTTACTTTTGCTCACCACATTCACCTCCTGCTTGTAAGACTAGCAATGTGCACATTACATACGAATAGCTCTTGGGTCCAGCCCTGAAGTCCTGTGATGTTTTCAAATGTCACTGAAGCATGTGCATAGATAGAAGCTATCATCAGACTAGAGAGTTAAACACTGCAATTACGTTTAGAATTGTGTGCGTTGGGTGGGGTGCGGTGTGTGTGAAAACACTACTGCTCTTACCCCCTTTTCTTTATCAGTTACTTAGCAACTGGTCGTCTCTAATTTCCTTTTGGGAGACTATTTTCCATATATAACGGGAACGGAATTCAGAGGTGCCCCCCAAGCCGTTTATAGAACTTAGCAGGGACTGGCGTGTCACTTGAGAGAAAACAAGTGATAGTAACCAGTGAGTCGGCTTATCTTACATTCTTTTCTAATACAGGTACAAGTGACACTGCATGGACTCTCCTCCAGCCTGGAGGTTGAAGGAACTGCTACACCTGGAATCAGTGACTACTCAAAGCCAGGCAGACTGGCTTCTCTCTCAAGGCCCAAACAGTATGCATTGCTACTTACGGGTCTGCATCCTCCGTGAGTTCCAACTATTAATAACTGTTCACTTTAAGATTAAAAAAGAATGGCACTTTGCTGTAATGACCATTAGTTTGTGCGCATACTTTACCTGTACATCGTTGGTGTTCATTCTTGTTCCCTCCTTCCCAACGAAGATGTCATCTATGTCAACCAGAATGTACCTATCCAAGGACAGTCTGAGCTTCTTTCCAGACAGGAAAGAGATGGCATCTATGAAAATCAGCTTGTGCAGCCAAAAATTCAAGTTATTGCCGAAAAGGACTCGTTGAATCCCATCATGGACCCCCAGGTCATGAATTACTGTGGCATGGAGAGCACTTTTAGCAGCAGGTGGTGAAAGGTTTTCTGGTGCCTTGACTTTTGCAAATATCACTGGTTGATAAGCTGTATGATTAATCTGGAAAACCGCCCAGTCATTTCCAAGCAAGGGACCTTTCTCAAGCTTAGAAGATTTAGTCACATGGAGCAGTGGGGAATGAGGGTTAATGCAACAGTCCTTAATACCCAGATTGCTGTGGACATGGAAAGGAAAGCCCTTCAACTGAAAGCTCTGCAAGCTGTTCTCATTGCCTTTGTGAAATCCAATAACACCTACGCCATATTCTATACAGTACTTATCTAGAAGGCCTCTGTTCCAAGAGTCCATATTCACATACTTTAGAATATTTTCGTATACTATGAGAGCGTATTTGCCTTTATTTTTGTCTATGAGCACTGGGAGGTCACCCTTCCCAGGTGCAATCTCAATGTGAAACTGAAATCTGCTAGATTCTAAAATAGTTATTATATCTTGGCCTAGTGTTGAGTACTGACTTTCCACAAACACCAGCACTACAAGATCTGTCCTCAGGGGATCAACAGGCTTCATGGTCTTCATCTCCATCAGCTTGTATGGTAACAGTTGAAGATCACCACATTCCACTTCTGAAGAGATTTCAGAAAGTTCATTTTCCTGTTTGTAGCCATTATACAAGTAGTACGCAGAAATAACTATGCTCACCATACAAAAAGTGGCCAGCAAAATAACTGTTCTTTGAAAATGTCTGTGAAGTTTCATGATAAAACTCATGTTGTTTACTTGCCTTAAATTGTTCTCGACAGCAGCATTAAAAACAAACAGATTCTCAACAACTTGTTCCAGTCCTCTGAAATATTTATGTCACCATTGCAGCACACACATCTATCTTCCACAAAGCTTTACAGAAGGTATAGTCTAGAAGAAAAGAAAATCAGAGACTTAATTGAGGCATCACACTTGTGAAGTATCTTCACACTTAAACTAATGGTGAGCAAAGAAATCACTGCTAAACAGAAGTTTGGGAATGCATAGATCAAAGCTTTGATAGTTTCTTTTTGAAATTTTGCAGTAGTAGCATTGTTTCTTCCTGCTCCCACTAGTTGCCATGTGCATTTGAATGTCTCTCAATCTCACAGGCTCCTTACCCCAGAGGATCAAGTAAAAGAGGGCACACAGAGGAGGCACTGAAAAGCAAGATACGGCGGCAAAGAACTGACTGTTTTTCTGAAAGTTTTTTTACCCAAAGATAAAAGTTAACTCCCAAGTAGACAACCGCTGACAACCTAAACATTGAAGAAAATTTACAACCTTCCTCCTTCTACCCCTGGGGGAACATCAGTCTACACAATTAACCAAATTCTGTCTTACATTAATTTTTGAAGAACCAAGAAGTTCTTAACAAAACATGCACATTTTACCTGTTGCATACATACATACATACCGATTTATTCTATATTACGTGTATTACAGGAGGATTTTAAAAACAAAACTACACTTTTTCCTGCAACATTAGAAGTAAAGAGATAGCATTTTACTGGACTGTGTACTGTTTTGCAAATTGTTGGAAGCACTTTCTACTTCTTTGTATTAAAAAAGGCATAAAATAATCCAGCTCTTAAATTTGAGGAAAGAGAGTAATAAATCACAAGCTAACTTAAGAGGCAGATCACCTAAGGATATACTTATGCTTTAACTTGTACCTAAGGAAAGCAGTCATTTTTCAAGCCAACAGTACAATTGCTGTCAAAAGTTTCTAGTAAAACAACTGAATGATGTGACAAACATAAAATAATCAAGTACCATAAGTTATAAAGGAAGGTTGAAAGCAGATTTTGAAAAATGCTACGGGTATGAAGATCTAGAATATGCTATTGTAACTTCACAATGTAGTACACATCCATTCCCATTTGCAAATGGGACTAGGATAAGCTCCGTGTGTAACGTTAATGAGTGCTTAATCCTTCCATGCTCAGTTTAAAAAAAAAAAAAAGTAGGGCTTAAAAAGTGAATACCAAGAAGCTCCAGAAGTACAACCGATATAAAATATGAACTTTTCTGTACAGACTGACAGAAACAATTACATTTTCTTGAGAGATCATGATAACAAATGATATTTACTCAAGCTCTATCCCATGTTTTGTACTTTCTAAGGTTTATTGGGTTTTCATTACAGATTTTGATTCCTAGAATGGCTGACAACCTTCAGTACTGAATCAGGGAGCAGATAATAGAAGAAATAAGGTCAGCTTCTGATCCAAAACAAACTGAAGTATATAAAAGATTAATTACATATTAATAAAGGGGGGAAAAAGGCATTTAAAAAAACCAAAACAACAACCAACCAACAGACAAAACCAAACAGCATGGCATGTACTTGGGCTACTCAACCACTTGACAAGAGCTCCTCCCCCCATTGTAAAGAAGGCGGCCTTTCACTCCAGGCTTTCAAAAAAGTTAAAAAATATGATGTACTTAACAGCACCTATGTAACTTGCACAACTTTTAATTAAATCCCAAAGATTGTTCCTCCCAGTGCCATGATGAGCACAAAGTGAAAAAATAAATGAGTAGGAAAATGAGATAAGGGGATAGAAAGAAACTACATGCCATCCTATTTATCAAATCACCAAAATTAAGCACCAAGAGTAAGCGTATGTAAGCTGTCTCACTCATAATTAAGATTCCCTTCAAACCTGCATCTCACCAGCTAAGCCTGCTTTCTGGATATATTCTGCTTTCTTCACCTTCTGCCCACAGATACAGGTATATTAACCCTTTCTGTTCTGGGTGGACTTACACCCAGCTTTGAACCTTACCTGCAGCTGCACAAAGACTTGCACATAGCTTTTAGACAGGAGACTTGCCTTTCACCCAGGCATATAGGCTCATTAATCAGTGCTAGACAAAAATAACATAATCCCAGTTTCTCAGTTTCCAGAGGCATGTATCTGAAAAGAAGTTAAGAGAATGCATAAGGACCGAATGACAATCTGAAAGTATCTTTAGAAGAACTCAAAGAATATTTTTAAGTATTGAGATGTCCGATCCTTATCATACTAGCTTCAAGAATATCAGTTGAGATAGCAGAAAAGAGGTATTTAATACAGTAAGAAGTCAGATGACAAAGAAGCAGCTCCATCCTGAATGACTAAAACCAGAGAGATGTTTCCAGACAGATGATTTTTCATTATGCGCACAAAGGATTCTTTTCATTTTGCATTTCCAATCCAGCTGCCTGAATGCCAATAAACTCATAATTTTAGTAGATAAAATTGATACTTACTGCATTCTGTAGAAAAGCTGTACATACCCCTACTTATCTTCAGTAACCACAGACCTGGCTGGCTTACCCCACATAGAGCTCAGGCCTGGTTTACACAGAAAAGACGCAAGCCTGCAAAGCGGAACTCTTGCTGACAAAAGTACAAGGAATCACTTCTTTGAATGACAAAGTCAGCCACCACACAACCAACAAGCACAATGCTTGTCTGCCTCTTTAGCCCCAAGCTCCTCTAACACAGCCCTAAAATACCCCTATTCTTCTGACAGGAACCACCAAAGTCCTGTTGAGAGAAGTTCCCAGCAGCACGATTTAGAAGTTTCTTTCTTTACCAGCCTATCCTTCTGACAGTCATCTGAACCTGAGAATCCTGCCTGGAGCAGGAAAAAATTTCAGCGACCTAAGCTCATGGCAAGAAAGGGTGGATTAGACAGAGTTGTCTGAATGAGATATTAACAGACGGGTTGCAACCCAAGGGCTGCTAAAGTAAGCAGCAGGAGCACTTGAAACGTTTGCAGCCAGGACACAGTTCCTAATGTTGTTCCATGGCGGAGAAAATCTGGAGCCAGCCCAGAAACCTGTATTTTCTTCAAGAAAACCTCTGTCATTTTATCCTTAGCTCCTAATTGCAGGTACCTCCTGGGGCTACAGAGTGCAGCTGTAAGGAGGAGTGGATGGAAATGCCAAGACAGATGCGAGGTTTGACTCTGAGGAATGAGGAATTCTCCAAGACCCAGAAGGACGCAGCCGGACTCAGCATCCTCACCACTGGAGACAGGAAAGAAGGGGAATGGAACAGAATAAGGCGCAAGTTTTAATTGCGTGCTCTCTTGAATCAGCTTGATGCTTATATACTTTTCACTTATTTAAGGACTGTTTTGCACGGCAAGAGTTCAAAAGAACACAGAAAAAAAGAAAACACACAAAGAGAACACGCATTTAATAATATCAAAACAGTTTCAAAGCCTTGACAAAGTACAGTTGCTTTCCTAGAGGAACAGCAGCATTTTTACTCTGAGCAACAGTACTTGCTAGGTATTCCACTGGCATCTTACAGCACCATGCTAAAATAAGTCATCATGCACCGAACTTGACAGTGGTATAAAGGTCTTCGGGGTGCATCACCCACAACACACTGTGGGACCTATCAAGACTACTATCGTGACCTTTATCACAACTTTAGACATGGCTTCAGGGAGAACGGGCTTAGGGTCCTTGCCCGCTTTCACTTCCAACAGTAAAACCAGACAAAGGGCGTAATTCAGAACATACCAACAGAGGGTAAGCCATCAGAAGCAGCATTTCAGAACAGGACAGTACTTATGAAGTCTTACTTTCATGACAAAAAAAATACAAGATTCTACAAAAGAAGAAGCCATCATAGCTTGAACTGCAATAAAAAAAAAATTCCAGGTATAAGAAAAAGCCTTAAAGAAAAAAAGAAAAAAAATCAAAGAGTCTAGAAACTCTTCACAAGAGTTCAAGCTTGTTAGTATTATTTCAGTGAAAAACCATGAAAAAGATCCACAGATAACATCAGCAGTCTTAGCTCATTAATTTCAGTGGAGTCACGTGGAGTTCAATGGAAGGAGGATATGGTCCCACCTATATCTCAGAGCACTTGAAAACGGGTGTCAGACATTGTACGAATCCAATGTTCCACAAAGGTGATGCTGAAATAAGTTTTACTTGGAAAATAATTTGTATGGTATTTTTCCATCATCCGAAGCAATAAAAGCTGCCTTATTGTTCCGTATCTTGAACCTTATTATTTTAGAAGAATCTGCATGGGATCTCCTACAGAATTTTGCATTTTCATGCCACCATCTGAAAACTTGGACCAGAACCTTTTACCTCTGTTGTTCCAAGTATGAGGTATCAAAATGCCTCCTTAATGTGAAAATTAGCATCTTTGAATATTTAGAATTCTGTTCTTAACTTGTGGACTCACTATGGAGGAAATGATCTTGCTAAGAGAAAGCCGAGTCACGGACATAAGTTTCGCATTTTATTCTGAATACAACAAGGCTCAACATCATTCTCATCTACTCTAGAAGTGTTTTCTGCAGCCCAGGACTAGCTCACATGAAAATCTTGTGGGTACAGGAAATAAGTATCACCTTACTAATTGGAAGATTTACAATTCTGAGCAGTACTGCTGGGCAGTCACAATTAGAGGTATCTTCAGACAGCTAGCATGAAACAGATGCATTAGAATAGAGATCACCTGTGGGTTTGTTTGATTTGGTTTTGGGTTTTTTTTTAATTCACTAGCAAGGTAGCACTGATCGGAGAACAAATACCGATGAACTCAAGAGAGCTGAAAGGCACCACAAGGAGTCTGGTGAGTTCCTACCATTTGCAGCTTTCTTTAGTTTGTTGTTTCATTGCTAAGCATAAATGACCAAATTCTTGGCTTCTATAAATCATTTCAGCACAATAACCCTAATGGAAGTACTTACGTGAGACGATGCTGGCTGGGGACTTAGCC